CCTCCTCCTCCTCCTCCTCCTCCTCCTCTCCCGACCCCGACGGGCAGGTTGGGCAGGGGGAGCCTGGGGAGGACACACGACCCGCGGGTAAACGAGCCAAGGGGAGAGGCTGGGGCTCCCCCAAACCCTCCCCACATCCACAGGGGACCCCTCACACCAGGGCACTGCGAGCTGGGGGTCGCAGCAGTTGGGGCTCAGCAATTTGAAAAGAAACATTTTGGAGAAATAACATCACCTTTCCCTACACAGAGCATGGGGAGGGGGCACAAGAGCTCCTGAGGACCCCCAAAAGGATGGGATGAGGGTTCACCCCCTCCTGAAGGAACCCAGCTGGGAGATTTAACACACCTGTAACTCTCTCCTTCCTCCTCCCTCTCCACCCGTCAAACCTCAGCACCATCAAAAAATCCCTCCACACACCCAAACAGCAGCAAACCTTTCGGTGGAGGCGGATTCAAACAACAAACACACAAACGACTTGTTGGGAGTAAAAAAATATGTTTTTGTTTTTTTTTTTTCCTTTTAATTACATCAGTTATCAAAGAAAACGACAACAAAAAAAAAGCAGTGGTAACAAAAATACAAAGCTCTGAGGGTTTCTTGTTTTTGTTTGTTCTGTAATACGCTGAGAGCATCAGTGCAATTGTTTTAATTTAACTTTTGCTCTGAGTCCCTGCTGGCAGCATAGGAGTAGGCTTTGCCCAGCACCAGCCGGTCCCGCAGCAGTTTGAAGAAGGCGTAGTAATTGCTGAAGAGGATCAGAGCCAGTGAGATCGTCTGGTGCCACTTCTCCGAGGAAATCAGCGAGTAGAGCTGGTAGAAGATGACAGCTCCTTCCAGCAGGATCAAGATGTTGAGGATTCGCAGTGGTTTGCTGAAAAAGAACTGTGGGAGAGCAGGGTGAGGCGCCTGGCAGAAGGTGAAACCTTTGGGGGAGGACTGGGAGGATTCCTCGGGACACTTTGGCTCTGCATGGAGTCACAGGGCTGAGATGCTGAACCCCAGCAGCTCCTCCACCCTGGGCACTGAGCCCCAGCTCCACCAGCCTGAGGTGTCCAGGACCACAATCCTGCGGTGTTATCCCTGCTCCCAGCAAGGAGAGGGGAGGAGAGCTTACGTGGAACCTGAAGTGCGAGACGTCCGAGGGCACGGCCACGTTGTAGTGACCCACGGCCTTGTAGACGTTCTTGCTGTGCTTCACCAGCACCCCCTGAGGCCACATGCACTCCTCAGTCCACCTGCAGGCAACAAGAGAATCCTCAATCCCAGCTGCAGGGAACAAGGGTCAATCCTCAATCCCACCTGCATGGGGCACTGGGCTCTGCAGCAGGGAGGAGCACAAGGATACTGCTCCTGGTTTGGAAGGGTCACCACGGCAGGGACAAACTGCAGGTAGCTGTGGCCAGGAGCAACAGGCACCCTGCCAAAAATCAGCTCTGCTTGGCAGGGTACAGTGCCCAGAGTGTGTCAGCCAACAACTCCGCTCTCACTTTTCTCTGGTTTGCTTTAAGGCTGAGCTCCCCACCCATCCAGCAAAAGGAAAAGCCCAGGAGAGAATTCCTTACTGGTGTTGCAGCACGTTGGAGCAGAGGGCCGGATCCACCTTCTGCCAGCAGCCAAGGTGTGCTGCAGCTTTGTGGAGCAGGTCACAGTATCGTGCAGGGAGCAGGTACTGCATGAGGATCACCGAGGTGCTGATGGAAACCAGCAGGAAGAGCTCACAGGACCAGCGTTTGTCGTAGTACTGAGTGTTCTGGGGGGGACAGGAAGTGTTTGGACACTGTGGGACACACCTCTGGACAGCCTCACCTGCCCAGGGCATCACAAAGCACCTGGGCAGGCAGGTAAAACGAGGGCTCTGCACGGAGCTGTGGATCCTGCCTGGAAAGGAAGAGCCCATGTGGGATGGGGGATGGAGAATTCCTGCAGAATATTTGTGCCATCATCACCAGGACTGGGGAGGCAGCTCCTGATGGTCCCCATGCTGAGCTGGTGGAGCACCAGCCCCTGGGGGAACAGGGACAGCCTCACCCCTCAGGCCCATTTACCAGCAGACATTCAGAATTCCATCACCACGAGCCATCCTCAAGTGTCCTCCCTCACTGTGCCACCACAGCCCAGTGTCACCCCCCAGCCAGGCCTCACCTTGACAAACCACACGGGCACAAAGGCCACGTAGTAGGCACTGAGCATGGAGCTCACCAGCACCTCCTTCATGCGCCAGTTGAAATCCATTTTCAGGAATTCCACCTCGTTGCGGATGAGGTCTGGGGAGAGGCAGCAGGCATGGCTGGGCATGGCCTCCATGCCGTACATCTGCCTCGTGTGCTGCTTCCACGTCTCCTTGAGCACTGTCAGGTAGTCCCTGCCCCGGGCTGTCACCTCCCCTGTGTCCCTGGGGCCAATGTTGGCCACCTGCGCGAAGAGCCCTGCCTTCCGAAAGTCACAGTTCAGCTGGAGGAAGGGGATGTACATCCCAAACCTGGAAAACACAGACCTCGGGAGCTGCATCCCATCCCATCCCATCCCATCCCATCCCGCTGCCGTCACAGCCCC